ACAATAAACCAAAACAAAATCTCGCTAATCCAGGCAGGCTGCCATGTACCAAGCAGTGTATTATTAACCCTTAATGGTTAGAGTGCCAAAGAAATATCCTCAGGACAAAGCTGCTTCAGTTATTATTCAAACTCTGGCATAATACAATGTTTACATTTTATGTATTTTTAGAATTTGTCTCTATGTCTAATCCTGGCATTCTGTTGTTCCTTGGTCATATGACACTACATTGGCTCTGCATGAGCTAACTTTTCTAAGAAAGGGAGGTCCTGACATCTCATTCTTTTACCATCTTTTTACATCTTTGCCCAACAATCTAAGTCTCTGTACAGGGCAGAGGTAACTTCAGCTAATCAAACTTTGTTGCTGCATATGCCACTCCATTGCCTGAGTGTACAGTGAGAAGAGGGTTGCAATCTGAACTGTAGCCAACTCCGCTAGTACACTGAATCTTGTCGACCTTTTTGAGTTTATTTCTAATATCTTGCTCCTGTGTAAGTACAGAGACAGATTTTTCAAGACTATCTCATAGCTTAATAAAGAGACCTCTGGCTTCTTTACATATATCACAGCCTCCAAGGCATAAAGAAGACATTCAACTAGATAAGGATGTGTCCCTAAAGTGGAGGGAATAGTGTGTTCAGGACTGTCCTGGGGAAGCTTAGAAGCAGCATTCCTGGGAGACGGTCTAAGTGATTCATAAGAAATTTTCCATCAATCCAATATTCCCAAACTGTACAAATATTAGAAGTCTCCCAAGTATGCAAAAGGTAGAGATGAAAACCAATGGTGGCACAGAAGCCATCACTGGGTTCAGTTTTGCTGGATCACTGTCAAGCAGCTGTGCTGGCTTTATGACTTTTACCGTTCCCATCAGATAAGGCTGTGCCAGCACGCAGTCACCCCACTGCTCCCCTCTCTTGTTCCTCACCCTTTCCCATTGATCACTTCCCTGTTCCCAAATAGATCCCCTGATGCTTTCAAGTCCTATGGGTTATTTTTTTAATTTAAATCTATTTCAATATGATAAAATATACAATATTTTGTTTTTCTGAGTTTGACTAATTTAACTTGGTATGATGATTTTCATCCATGTTCCTGGAAAATTAAAAAAAAACTATTTTCAGCTGGGCACTGGCATACCTTTAATCCCAGCACTAAGGAGGCAGAAGCAGGCAGATCTCTCAGTTTAAGGCCAGCTTGGTCTACAGAGCGAGTTCCAGGACAGTCAGGGATACACAGAAAAACCCTGTCTCGAGAAACAAAACCAACAAAAATTTCAAACTAGTTAAGTTTTGAAGATGGATTTTCATTAGTGTATGAACATGAACAGTTCCAAAGACTGGCAACTGTGGATCAAAAGCTGTTAATTTAACCCTAGATGAAAAGCAATTAGAAATACTAACAGACTACCTGGAATTCAAGTAAAATCCTTACCTCATTAAAACCACTGTCAATCTTATCAAAGTGCTTAAAGTTCTTGTTTACTTTTTTATCCTTTTCTTCAGTAATCACGTTTTTCTAAAGTATTAGCCTAACATCTCATCCCATGACACAACACAGTAAAACTTTGTCGTTTTCTACTTCTAGTAAAGAAAGAAAAACATAAAAATTTGGTAAACAATAGAAGTTTGGTTTGACTAATGAAGTCTTTGCATTTTTACTAACATGTAAAAAATATACTTATTTGACGTGACATAATGCTCTAAAGTTTTCAACACATAAATGACACAAAAATGTGATCACTGTTTAAGTACTTGGATGGTAAATTTTAAATGAATATGTTACAGGAAAATGAGGGTCATTTTAGAGAAAGTATAATGGTATTTTATAATCATACATTTCAAACAGGAATTCAAAAGTAACCCTGGTTATCTGGCTTCATTGGCTATTGTATAAATGTACTAACGATCTGTTCATTTTGTTGCTCAGAATATAGCACAATGTACATATCCATTTCTACTACAAGTGGGCATTTGAGTTGCTTCCATTTGGAGGTTGTCATGAATTACGCCATTGCTTATGTACAGTTTTATGTTATGTCTGTGCTACATGCATTTGTCTTTGAAATGAACTTCTTCAAAGTGCAGCTGCTGGGTTATCAGGCAGTCTTGCTCAGCTTTAGTAGATTCCACCAACAACATTATTCTTCTTGAGGTATTAATGGCAGAAGCAATATTACTTTTAAAACACAGAAGGAGTTGTTCAGTTTTCTTATATTACATAGGTAAGAGAAAGTTAGCTTCTGGAATAATGGCACTACCCAGCTCTAATTATCTGAATCACCTTAGACACATTTTTAGAAATGATTCCTTCATACTTCCATTCTTGGCCAACAGGATCACCACCACTGCTTCATTATTCCACTACTGAAATCACAAGTACCAATGCAATGAAGAGGTTGAAAATGCATTTGTTTCTTGAGGAAAGTAAAAAAGGTTATACAAATATAACAAATTAGTGTTTTGTCTGATCTTAATTTGTTTACATTATTTTTTACCTACAGGTAAAAATCAAGCCAAAGATATTCACTAATTTCTTAAAAATCTTTGCTTTTCTCTTATTATCTTGCTAATGAAGAGAAGGGTTCTAGAATAACTATGGCCAGAGGCTAGACTGCCACCTACAACTCCAGCATTCCAGGAGGAGCTAGAGTCCTTCCCCTGGCCTTCCTATAACACATATAAGTACACAGAGTGATGGCGGGGATTATTGAGTGATCTACCTAAAAAAAATAATAATACAGAACAATGTAAAAATTGGCAACTATTACATTTGAAGAAATTCAAGTGCTAACAAATGGTTTCAAAATAGAAGGGCGGCTTTTAAAAGAAGAGGCACACTAAGTCCTACAAATCAACCACATTAGAAGCAGAGGAAACAGGAAATACAAATCTCATGACAGATATGAAAATGCTAAAATATAATGACCATCTGAAATTTGACACTTAAAATTCTAATCTGACAAACACCATCAAGAAGGCATACTCTTGTACAAGTAATGTTTCCAGGAAAGACTATTAAATTTCTTGGAGAGAATAAACAAATAAAGAAAAATCTCATCAAATCATCTTCATCTACCAAAAGAGAGGAAAAACCAGCAAACAAAGCAACAAACACCATAGAAGCTTATCTTTCAAAGATTTAAGAAGCCAGAGGGCCTAAAACCAGAAGTTCAGATAGTCTTGCAGGTGAGATCATTAATAACCTAAAAACTGATGGATGGAGGACATAGCTAACATGTCACTGATTCACAGAAGACAGAATTGAAGGCACATGCTGAACAGAACAAAAGTATATGACTATAAACCTCACAGCAAACACGCGTCCTAAATAATGCATATTAAAGACTTAAGAGACTGTTCAAGCAAACTTTTCTTTTTAAAGTTGGGAAGTCATGTATGTGATGCTCCAACACCCTCACTTCAAGAATATGCATACACACACACACACACACACACACACACACAGCTACTATTTATGTGCATTTTCATGTTAACATATCACTATGGAAAGACCAATGACTTACATTGCCAAAATGTACAGCCAGTGTCTGAAGGAATAGAGGAGTGAAAGTAAGGAATACATTCCTCTTGGCAAAATAGGATGACTAAGAGAAAACAGAAAACAAAAGATGCCAGTTGCCCTGCAGGAGCAGTACAATGAGAGGGCACACTTCCCTTTCTGGATGCTACATTCCTTTTCCTCTCGTGTATCACATGTTGGCTTTAGAAACTTCAGTGTCCTATAATAGGTCTTACAACAAGAGCTGAGAGTTTTTGCTATTGGTATTTAATAGCTGTCATTCCTCCCCCGGCCTCACTAGAGAGATGGCTGAGCAGTAAAAAAGTACTTGCGGCTTTTGCAGAGCACCTGGGTTCAGTTCACAGCATGCACAGGTGGCTCCCAATATTCTATAACTCTAGTTCCAGGGGATCCAGGCCCCTCTTCTGACTTCTTCATGCACCATGGACACAGGTGATGACCATATATACATGCAGACAAAATACTCATACACAAAAATAAATAAATCTAAAAAAGCTTAACATCAACCCCCAGCAAAATAATCATCTTTTCACCCTAGATTTTCATAGTCACACAAAAAAACAGAAGTTACAAATATCTTTAAGGTGTATATTAAACACAAAAATCAAACTTCACACATATCCTTCATCCTTGATACCAAAAGTCCCAATCAAGTAAGCCAAAAATATTCACATAAAATATCTGAACTGTGTACACTAGAAGAGATAAACTGATCCACCAACACAATTTGGCAAACTTCAATCACATTTGGCAACTCAATGAGATGGCAAGACAATTCAGACATCAGAGAGAGGTTCAAGCACAAAGGATCCCACAAACTCTGAAGCATATAAATTAGCATTATTCACTAATAAAAGCAGGATCTTTTTTGTTTTAATAACAGTTCATCTAAACCAGTGGTTCTTAACCTGTGGGTTGCACCCCTTTGGGGGTCAAATATCAAATATCCAGGATATCAGATATGTACATTATGATTCACAACAGTTGCAAAATAAGTTATGAAGTAGCAACAGAGTAATGTTATGGTTGGGGATCACCACAACATAAGGAACTGTATTAAAGAGTTGCAGCATTTGGAAGGTTGAGAACCACTGATCTAGGCATTCAACATTGCCAATTAAATATATATATACACATTTGTATTATTTTAATGCTCCATTTAAAGTCAAATGAATGCCTATAATGAACCAAAACACTGTAGTTAGATAAATTTATACAAATAGTATATAAGTACAAACACATTAGTAAAACTACTAATATATGTATACTTGTATCTACAAAGATCTCTTTCTCTAGTTCATCTTTAAAACTTGAGGCATATACTATAAATTTTAGACTATACTCTTAGCACTCTAATTTAATTAGTACTTTCTTATACTATTCAACTGTTTAAAAAATCACAATTTTTTTAGCATGACACTTAACATGTACATTATTTTACACCACATACTTACTACATCAAACTTCTGAGTGATGTTTCCCTGGACATCAAGTAAATAAACCTTGCCATAATGTGTACCCAATGCCAAAAACTGTAAGAAAAGCAGAGAGGGCAATTAATGAATACACAGTGTACTAGTAAACTGTTAATATAAACCTATTCAAAGTGAAAACACTTAATGTGTAGTCATCTGCAACATCTTGGAAGAGACGCATTCCTTAAAAAAGGCCTGTCTCCAGCTTGGGGGAAATGACAGAACCAGGCCTATTTACCATGATAGTGCAAGCCGGCTGTCAAAATGACTCATGAGGACCCTCATCTACTGACAACTAATGGTGTGTGCCCACTCTGTACACAATGCCTGACGGACTGAGGCAGTAAATTAAAAATGCAGCAGTAAAAGCTCAACCATGCTACAGCTGAACCCAAAGTGAAAGGAAATGATTAAGAAACTCCCTAATTTAAGTTACCTGTGGAAATATAGGCCAGCATTTCAGTCCAATGGAGGAAAAATGCTTAACAACAATAAAGAATTGATTCTGAATGGAAAATTCCATTCCATATTGAGGCATGAAAAACCTCAGATGTTCTTGTACCATCAGCTTCAAAATATCTCTGTGAATGGTACCACATAACACTGAGCATAAATGTTTATATTCCAATGCAAAAATAATCCTTTCCTGTCACTAAATAACTGCTGAGCTACATATTCACTTTATGATATCAGGCTGGGTCATACATTCCACTGTTTCTTTATTCCTTTGAACTGATCCTAAACAAGCCAGAAGAAACTTAAGGACTACCTGAAATATGACATGAGATTTTTCTTCCTTTTCATTTCTCTAAGCATTACTCAAATAGTCCAAAATCCTCTGTATTTCACTGCATGCGAGCATGCTTCATTGCAACCTATAATGAAATGCTCAAATTCATAGGCACTACTAAGCATTTCAGTCAAGCAGCACAATCTTTAAAAAATAACCTTACAGAAAGTCAAGATTTGAAAGGATTTATCAAAATAGAATTGCTAAAAATGAAATTTCAATTCCGGCACTTAAAATATGAAGCTACATTAAAGAGGAGCCACAAAAGGGGGAAAAGGGGTTCATTAGAAATTCATCCCCTGCAATGCCTTTCACTCCTGCAAGGTTGCCTTTTTTCAGGAAGAAAAAAGTCCCCTGGGTAAAAAAAATCAATACTGGTTAATAAAACATCAGGTGTGCAGACATAACTAGGGATGACGATTCCGCTGCACAGGACTGCCTGAATGCACCAGGTGCCATGACGATTAGTCATCCGGGGCAGACAGCAAGCCTGGTGCAAACAGGAGGCTTGGGCGCTGCAAGAGAAAAGGAGAAGAGGTGATCCTGGTGGGAAATTAGTCTGAATATTTAAACCACGCAGGAATGCTTTCTCCAAAGCACAAGAACATTCTAATCAGAACTAGAGGACCCAAATGGTTGTAATTTTATCTTTAGAGTGACACTGACTGTATCTGAATAGGAGATGCCACATAAAATGCTAACCAAAGGCAAGTGATATGCCATTTGATGGCTTTCTGCGGTAAAAGAATGGGTCCTAAAAGCTCACTGCACCCCAAGTATCTCACAGTATCGATTCTCCTCATAAATTCTGCATATAGTTTGTTAGAAAACTAAGGGAGTTTGGATCCTAAACATGCAGTAATATTGTGTCACTCTGTGGCATCATTGTAAAGGCCATTTTAAGAAATAACTGCATTTTATTTTACAAAAAATTCAGAGGTTAAATACAATTCCTTATCTCTTTTTTTGAAAAATTGCCGTTTTTAATCCACATAGGATAGATAAGTAAAATATAATTTTGATTTTACATTTTTTATGTAAAGGTACAATAAATTTATGAAAAAATTACTGGTATTTATATGAAAAACTATCCTTTGTTCAAGAAAACATCTAACCATTTAGAACAGCAAATGAATGCTAAATCCTCTTGGAAGAAAGCAACTAAATGCCCTTCCAAATAACATTTAATTTGTTGATCATATTTATTTGATTACTGAAATTATGGATAATTCATATATTCCTTTGCTAATGCTTTTGATTAACTTAAAATGCAGCAAAAATACAAAATACAAAATTGTCCACAATATGACAGAATGCAAGAACAAATCCTTCAAATTTTATTTTCCTTCTAGCCATTAAAAACCATGAACTTCTGAGCTCACTGGGTCAAAGTGCTTTCTGCTGAGACAGATGAGTTTAATCCCTAGGATCTGCATGGCATATGAAGAGGACCAACTCCTCCAAGTTGTGCTCGGACCTACATACACATACCATGGCTCAATCATGCCTATATATACACATATACACTCTCTCACACATATGCACAGATAATAAACAAACAAAAAATGCAGTAAGACCTGGTCAAGGCACAAGAATGCACAGAACACTTAGTCCTACAAGGAACATGTATACCACCCTCCTCTCATGGATCACTGCAGAAGTGGGGTAGGAAAGAGGCAGAGGTAGTGGATGACTACACGGAAACATTGTCTTCTGGACACAGTGGGCAGCTGTATATCTGCACTCAGAGCAGTTACAATGGCATGCACAAAAATCTGTGCAAGCCCAAGCCCCACCAAACCCCATTATGGAGATAGGAGTTGGGCACACAATCCCTTGTCATGGGTCTATCGGCAATTGTTAGCTGCTGGGAGAAAAATCAGTTTTCTCGAAAAGTAACAGCCCCTGGTAAGTTGACCATGCTCAAGTGGAAAGCCACAATGCCCAACAATATTTGGGCAGCACAATTTGGTCTTTGATGGGTTAAAAAAAAAGCTACCAGGTTGGGTGGATGTGGAAAATGGGGAAGACCTGGGAATAGGGAGAACTGGGGGAGCAAGGTAAATATAATTAAAACATATTTTATTAAATTCTCAAAAACCTAATACTTTTTTAACTCCTTGGGTTTCTTGGGTATCAGATTTTGCTTTTTTTCAATCTGAAAATATGCAAAATCTAGGATGTATAATCATAAATATAGCATCAATGTCCTCTTTAATGTTTAATTAAAGAAATGTGCTTTGTTTATAAAGGGTAGACATCTTAATCCACTAAGTGCAGGGCTTCCACTGCACAACTGAACTTTATGTGGGTGAAACAGATAAAGTGAGCAAGTCTGTGGAGTCACCAAGGAAAGAAAGCACACTGCATGTCCATTCAGCCCTTCCTCAAAGTGTTTTATAATATACACAGTACTGCCCCTAGGACAACCTCCAGATACACATGAGAAATTAGGTCCCAAAAACTGGAGGTAGGTGAGAGACAGAACATGTGCCTACAATTCAGTTCTTAAAGCTGCAGAAACAAAGCAAAATAAAAACTGCAATGCTATCAACTTGATCAAAATCCTCTTAATAAAAATATGGGCCTGAACTGAAAGTCTGTGTTCTAAATGTCAGCACTGACAATCCTTCCCAACTATCAGGCTGTCTGGTCGATCGGCTATGTATGATGTTAACAAAGGGACAAACATGGCTCTCCATTCCATGTATTCAAATGTTCATTCAACAAGCTCACAAAAATAACCATAATGTACTTAGACAATGAGCAAATGCAACATAAAGGTATTGCTGTATTGAGGAAGACAGATATAAAAAGTTGCAATTAAATGTAAAGACTGTGTTTAAAGTGGCAGTACCTCTAAGAGCCACAGAATTAGGAAGGGTTATGTGACAAACCTGGAAGGAAGAATTAGAGAGCAGACACAGACAGGGAATAAAGGCCAGAGTAGAAACAACTTGCTCAACGGCATGAAGTTCCATAACAAGGGACAGGAAATTATAAGCAGCTTTACACAGATGAAAGATCCATCTAATTCATGCCCAAGAGAAAAGGCAGGTGCTACAGCTGGAGAGGCTGACTAACAAGGAGCACTGAATAATTACAGCGGGATGAAAGGTGGGAAGTGGAGGAAAGCAGGGTGGACTGGTCCAAATCATTAAGACATCAGGAATCAGCAAGTTTCAAGGGAGAAGACTGAATGATCGGATCAGAATCTCTGGAGGTCTACTCAAGCAAGCGAGTAGGAAGAGAAGTGAGAGAACAAACACGAGAGAAAGCAGACTAGTTCACAGGAGGTGCAGCAGCCTCAGAGAAACGATGGATGGGAACTAACAGAAGCTCAGGAGGAGAAGAGGCCAGCACATAAGCAGGTGGCAGAATCCAAGCAAGAACTTAATGTGCATAATAAGGACAACACATTGCTGCCACAATCTCATGCCCACAGCAAAAGTGGTGAGACAGGAGCTCAATTACACACAGCAGGCAAAGTCCTAGAGTGCCTTACACACCACACGGAAGAGCTCGGCCTCTGTGTACATAATGGTTTAAAAAGTTCTGTATCTTCAACACAATACCTGCAACCAAGAGGCAGAGGGTTTAGAAGGAAAACAAGAGTCTCCCATTTACCAAGTGCAGGAAGGAAAAGCTAAAAGCCAAAGCTCAAGTTTAGGAAAAACAAAAGCAACAGGATATGAGGAATGGCTGTGGGGAAAGGGGAAAAGGGTCACTTTCGGCTTAGGTGATAGAAGCTGGTGATGCCACCAAATGAGTTCACACAGCACAAAACAGGTGCTAGTTTAGAATGAAAAGAAGACGATCCCAACATGTTTATGATAAGGTTCAGATAAAAAGAACAAAGGCAGGGAGCACCTAGAAAACTCACATGTTGTTCTGAGAGAGCTCAGCTTGTAGGCAAAAAGAAAACACAAACCAGCATGGAACCAAGAGGAGGAGCCAGCTTTAGAAAACCAGGATGTCAGGGTCAAATGATGGAGCTACTGGGAACACCAGAAGTGACCAAGAAGGCATTGAAAGGGCAGCTGTGATAAAGAAGTTCTGACAAGAGAAACACACAACTTAAAATCAGCAAAATGTCCACCAATCAGTGAATGGCGACAGAAATTACGTCATGGCCATACAACAGACTAGTCTTCAGCAGTAAAAGGAGTAGTACTGATCCCTGCTCTGACATAGAGGAACTTCAAAACAGTATGCTAAGTAAAATAAGTCTGGCAAAACAAATCAAATAATCTGTGACTGCATTTATCTGAAATAGTCTAAATAGGCAAGACATTTATAAATACACAAAGCAAGTTGCTAGCTACCTAATGCTAATATTAAGTATGTTCTGTGGTATAGCAAATACATGTGTAAGAAAGGGACAAAATGAGATGAAGAACAGAGAAGACAAAAAGAGCCTTAAACTGGAAGAAGGAAATTTCCTATGGGTAAGTGTGGGTGTGGACTCTGAAACTGAGGCTGGCCTTGCATCATTGTTTCAACTTTCTTAAAGAAATGACACTACATGGGGTCATGGTGCACATCTGTAATACAAACACTCAGGAGGTCAAGGCAGCAAATCATGAGTTTAAGGTGACTGTCGAAAATCTAAGGGAATGGAAAAGGAGACGGGAGAGGAAGAGGAAGTCAGAGGAAAGAGAACGCTATTATCTGAGAGTAAAGGACAATGGTTGAGCAGGTGAACTGGGGACAACGGGAATGAGGAAATGCAGCTTACATCAAGTTTTAGTAAAAAAGCAAGCCTGAGTACAGGGGATGCCACATCCCATTACACGATGGATTCAAAACTGAGAGTATAACTAAAAGAACAAAAAGATGGATAAGGAAGACTGGCAGATAGAGGATAATTTCACAGGACAAATAACAAAGGAAAGTAAAAGAACAGAGATTGGGACACCATATTCAAGAATGATGTTTGTGTGAAAATGAGCATGAAGGTCTAAAGAGAGTATGCTGCAGGCCAATATCACCAATTTCCTGATAGTGAAACCACCCACAATGTGGTCATAGCAGTGGGAGATGGACCACTGCGGTGGATTGAATAAGAATCCCTCCTCCCCATAGGCTCATATATTTGAATGTTTCATCTCCAGGGAGTAACATTAGAAGGATTAGGAGATGTGACCTAACTGGAGAAAGTGTGTACCTGGGAGGTGGGCTTTGAGGTTTCAAAAGCCTATGCTAGGCCAGGCTCTATCTCTTTGCATAGAGATCAGGCTGTAGTTCTAAACTACTTCTCCAGCACCACACCTGCCTGCTGCTATGCTCTTTGTCATGATGATAAAGGACCAAGCCTCTGACACTGTAAGCAAGCCTCCAATTAAATGCTTCTGTTATAAGAGTTGCCCTGGTCATGGCACCTCTTCACAACAATAGAATATGGTGACTAAGACAACCATAGAGAAGTGAAGTTCAATGGAAGTAAATGAGCTTGAAGAACCACCAGGTCAGCCTGCATCAGTGAAGAACAAGGAGTTAGCTGGAGCTCAGCAGCCACGACATGACAGGGAAAGAAGGCAGGGGACTCACGGGAGGGAGTTTATGATAAAAAAACAAAAGAGCAGACATTATTGTTAAAGCGTTAAGTGAGTACAGGGATCTGTTTACAAGGGAACAAAACTGAAGCAAAAGGCATTTGGTGGGAGGCTGGCTGGAGAATGAAACAACATAGCATAAAGCCAAAGGACACATGAGAGGTAGGAAGGTCTAAGGTTCACTCCCAGGCTCACGAGGAAGAGAACAATGGGTGAAACCATGGCCTCCACTAAATAGTCTGGGTTCAAGAATAAACTAAGGGTCTGACCCAATACCTAGTGTAGTCTCAGTATGTCAGTAAGATCTTTACCATAGCAAGCACATAGATGTTGGCACCCACAATCCTCTTAAAGTGCTCCTTACCTTGTCATGAACCGTCATACAGCTTGCTGCATCCTTCTGAAGAATCTCTGTCACCCCATTGGAAAGCCTTTCATACTTCAGTTTGGGTTCCTCTTCACTCTCTTCCTGAATGAAAAGCAGAAGAACATGATAGTCATTGTAACTTTGTTCTGAATGACTCAAAATGCACTTAAGGGGTAACAAGGTATAGCTCTTTCACTTATTGTCAAAAACTATGACAATAAATACAGGCTAAGATTCCTGTTTCTTTTTGACAATTATGTAAACAGTTTCTCTGGTGGAATAAATTAAAAAGTTGAAAACATGTATATTTGAACTTACCATTGTACTGTAATAACTATATATTTACCCTTACTGTGTGGTACAGTACAAATCAATAAATGTAGGACAACAATAATATTATTGTAATTTAAAAGAGGAATAATTTTACACTTGTAAGTTTAAAACAAAGTTCACAAACCAAGAACTGTGATGGCTCATGTCCAAGAAGTCAGCCCTACATTCATGCACTATGGGCAACACTAACTGAACTCATCTGCTTCCACACTAACTGGACTCAATTGGTTATATATATGAAGAAGGCACGAATTTAAGAGAATGGGAAAAGGAGTTAGAGTGGAGACAGAGGAATGATATTATAAAAATTCATTATGCTCATGAATGAAACTCTAAAATGGAAGGCATCAGCACCCACAGCAGCTCTCACAATGGTGGCAGGTTAGTGTTGACTTTGGTGGGAAGACTGATTTCCTCACTCATGAGGCTTTCCCCAGGCTGCCTGAACATCTCAAAGGTATGCAGCTTCTCCCACTGTGAATGAATCTGAGAGAGAACAAAACAAAGCCGTATGCTTTGTTAGGCCTATCCTCCAAGGCTGCACACTTCATAGGTACAATAATCTACTGATCTGTGTGGGTCAGCCATGATTCAATGTGGGAGGAGAAGACATAGGATATAAATGACAAGTTGTGAGGACTGTGGGGGAGGGGCACCACACAGCTGTAAGAATATTAATAAAACATTGAAAAGAAACATTTCATGTACACTAATGGACATTCCTAAGTTCAAGAGCACACAAGCTACCAGCTGTTGAGTAGCCAAGTGTTCCTCCAGGGACTGTGCACATACTGTTAACTTTCCAAGACTGAGAACTAACAGCAACAAAATACACAGCACAATGGGCAGTATTCCACAGGAAGAGGAAATGACGCTACCCAGTAATCAACCCCAAGGAAGCTGTAGCATCCCCAGACTGAACTATGTACAATATGACACAGTTAATTAACCAAGTCTTTAAAAACTAAACAGGGAAGAGTATAAAAACAATAAACCCTTCTGTATCTCCCAGCAAGAAAGGACACTGGAAAGGAAACAGTAGATGTCATGCAGGTGAGCTGTGTGTGCCGAGGGAAATGTGTTAAATACAAATTGAATCCTGAATAGCAGCCCTTAGAATAAGATGCCACATGTTGCTCAAGAGTGGACATCAAATGTGCACTCAATGTGAAAGTTAATTCTAGCCTCCCAACTATTTTGCATAAAAGCACTCATCCACGGACCATTAGATAAGCTTACTGTAAATAAGGTTTGCCTGCCTTATTTATAAGTGAAAACTAAGTAATCTCTCTCACATAAATATACCAAAATAAATACTTTTACAACACAGTTCAGTGAAGCATTCCCACATGGTTTCAAAAATCATAAATAAAATGAAAACTCAGTATTAGGCACTTTATGTACCATTTCATGCTTTCCTGACAGGTATCCTTTATGTTTACTTAAGAGCAAGTTAAAGGTGAATTTTAAGGCTTTTTTTTTTGCCTCCTTGTCAAAAGAAAGAAAATAGGAAATGACTCAAAACTACAATTCACAGAGGTTATTTTGCTATTGCAGACTCTATATTACATTTTAAATAAAAAAATTTAATCACAAGGATTTAATATCTAGTTTCACTTTAATTTTGGAAAAAAAATAAACAGAAAAAAGTGCAGTTTGAACTTTCATGGTAAATAACTCTGTGTTAATAAAAAGCAAATCAATAATTTTGTTAAATTTTAATAATCCTACAAACCTACAAATAAAACCATCAACAGTCTGAGTTGAGATGACAGTTAACTGTGTTACTATGACAACCTGGTGGAACAGAACACGTACTGACTTGCAGCTAAGTGAAGATATGAATAGAGTGACATTTACCCATACAAGAAAAGTTTGCAGCTTTCCTTCAAAAGAATCAATTTCTCAACAAACATGGATTCGTACTAAGTGTATAGCACTTTTAATTAAAGACAAATCCTTGAACCATCCTGTGAAATTCTAGAACACTATCTGAAAATAAATGTCATTTCAGGGTCCCTTTTGCTGAGTTTTGAATTAAAGGGAGAAAATCATCTGAGGAAATAACAAATTAAAGTTATTAAAGGTTTTCTCTATAAGATGCTTTTCGGTAGTCCTCCCTTTTGTCAGTGTGTCCTGAGAGGATGAATATCCCAGCAAAGTCAGTTCAGGGCACTTCACCTGGCCTTGTGTACCAGCACTATAATCATTCCCATCATTTAAAACCTAAATATAAGAAAAAAATGTAGTGTAGCTATTAGATTCAACATTTTCATCCTATTTTAATTTGTGTCAATATCTTTGTTTCACATGTTAATACATTTTATACAAATGCACCATTGTTATAGTCCAAATAACAACATGAATTTCACTTATAGAAAAAAAAATTTAGCTGGGATTGGTGGTACAATCTATAATCCCAACTACTCAGGAACTGGGACAGGGGAATTGCAAGTTTGAGGCTTACCTGGACTACCTTGAGTTCAAGGCCAACAGTGTTAACTTAGAAAGACCCTTTCAAAATAAAAACCCTGAATAACGGCAGGCACATAGCTCAGTTCATGATAATAATACACAAGTCATTAGTTCCCATGTACCAAGTGTCAACCATACATTTTCTATTCTTCCTATTTACACAGAAATGAAATGTTTATTTCTGGGTGCAACTTCTTTATTAAATTCAATTTTAATTTTAAAAACCAAAACTGACATTAGATAGACTCAAGAAAAGAGGTGAGACATCACCTATTGCCCAGATTAAGCTGGTAAAAACATCTGCAGGTACTCACTACTCAGCAACCATCATGGCTCTGTGCAGATGCCATTCCCCTTCCAGGACACCTCGGCTGAACCATTAGGAAATTTAATCAGATGAACAGTTTACCTCGTTTCCTGTCATCAGCTACATCTGACTAGGGGCAAATCCTTTTAATAAATATCCAGTGTTTTAAAGCTGGATACAATAGGGAGACACTAACATCCTCAAAGAATTTCTTGGTGTTTAAAAAAAACAAAAACAAAAACTCCTCTCATGCAGCTTGAATTTCCACAGTAAAACCAAGTGTTAATAAAAAGCAAATCAATAATCAACCATGGGTATGAAAGTCTAAAATAAAGGTTTGCTTCCTCTAGGATATTCTGTCTAGAACTCTAATTACCTTGAGGAAAACTGAAATACTCAAAATTGTACTCATTCTTACAAGTCCAATATATAAAAATAACGATCAAAACCCAATATCAGAACATTTGAATTTCAGAATATTTGTATTTTAAATTGTCTCTTATCACCAATAATTCACTTCATAGAAGATCTGTGATATATGCTAATATTTCTGATCAATTATAATTTACTAGAGAAAATAAGGGATATACACAATTAGGAAATTATTAACGGCATTATTGAAATTAATGTCAAACAAAATACAATTTGAAACTCAAAAACAAAAATGTTTTAAGGAACAAATCTAACCACTTCCACAGAGTATTACAGACCAACAGCAGAAACAAATGGAAACAAATGGAAATCACGTATTATTGGACATACACATTTACTTGAAACTACGTTATCTATAACACACAGACCTCCTCAAATTTAGTACACAGAGTATGCCTTTAATTCCAACACTCAGAGGACAAAGGCAAGCCAATCTCTGTGAGTTTGAGGCCAGTATGCTCTACAAAGCAAGTTCCAGGATACCTGGGCCACACAGAGAAATCCTATCTTGAAAACCAGCCAACCAACCAACCAACCAAACAAACAAACAAAATCTTCAGATGGGTAGCGGAGACCTAGAGGTGAGGCACAAAGTCAGTGGAGGGCTAAGGCCTTCAGCTAGCTTTCTAACACCACTCCCACATGTGCAAAAAGAATACGGTCACTTTAAAAAAGCTGTTAATTACTGTGTGCTATCCTTCTATTATAGAAGCAGCATTTTATTTATACAAAAAAGATGAGCATCTGATAAAAAAGACTTCACAGCTCCTTCTTAAGTGTCAAAATATATCAAGAAAACTACATAATGAAGCTGAGAGAAATTCTGATTTCCATTAATAATACAAAGCATTACAGCTGCCTCAATGGCCACACTTCTTATGAAAGTGACATGAAGATAACAGACCACCTATAATAAAACAGCTTCCAAAATGCCTTTCTATAGGGCTGCTGACTGATAAGCAATTACATTATTGTATGAATTACAACAATGCTATATTTTCATCTTTTAAGCAATATTGCTAATATAAAAAATTCATAACTACCACAGAAAATTGGAATTGATAAATTAATATAGATGGATCAAGTCTGCTCTTTCAAATGTATAGAAAAGTCACCATGACTCGATACCTACACATAACTTTTTAAGACTTTCATATTTCCCTTCTTGCCTTTGCTGTTTTTAAAGTTAATTAATTAATTTATGATTTTCTCATCTATTACATCCTGACCAGGTTCTCCTCCCTCCTCTACTCCCAGTCCTTTCACCCCCCACCCGTCCTCTCCCCTCTCCCCTAGATCAACTCCTCCTCCATTTACCTTCTGAAAAGAGCAGACCTCCCAGAGACACACTGAACACAACATAACAAAATACAGTAAGACTAGGCACATACCCTCATATCAAGGTTGGACAAGGTTAACTCAGTAGGAGGAATAGGGTCCCAAGAGCAGGCAAAAAGAGTCAGAGACAGTCATCATCCCACCGTTAGGTATCCCACAAGAACACCAAGCTACACAGCCATAACATATATGCAGAAGAATTAGGTCAAACCCATAC